GAACTCGAACCTCGTCCTCTACCTCCTGAATGGCGCTCGGCTCTCCAGCACTCGGTCGAGTTCGAGCTGTCGACCCCCTCCCACTTTAATGCTCAAGAGAAATTTCTGTCGTTTATCGATCGGGTGTTCTCCTCGTTGCCTGGCTGGATTCCCTCGCAATTCGCCTCGGGTGGGGAGGTGGTAGACCGGCCAGAACTCTTAGCTGCCGAGCAAGTGTCGGACCATGCGGCGGTGGTGGTGGTCCTTCGCCTGCGTGACGAGCCTCCTGCTGGCCAGCGCCCTGTGCGGAAGGAGATCTTTCGCGCGCCCGAATGTGCCGAGTATTTGAAGATGTCGGCTGAGGCAGCAGACTACTCACACCTCTCTGCCCCCCTCAAGCTCGAGTACTTTAAGATGTTGATGATTGAGGGCGCACGTCGCGCACGAAACGCGATCATCCTCCGTCGGCCTGAAGCGCCTCTTGCCCGATATCTGATGATTCGCAGCATGGCTCGTGCCGTCTTTCGCCAGCACTGGCTACTCGCGCTCCGTCTTCACCGCTCTCATCTTCTGTGTCGTGAGCACCTCCACCTCGATTTTGACAACGAGAAGGTCTCCCTCATCTCCCCCTCCTCCTTCACCGCGCTCTCCGACGCCTTGCGCAGCGAGGTGGCGCGGGCTACTCGCCAGAGTTTGCAGGCTAATGCTCGGCAGCTTACAGATCAGGCCAAGCTGTGTCGGATTCAGCGTCGTCAGCGGCGCGTGCAGCAGATGTCGAAGCTCTGGTCGCCTATTGATCGGAGAACCCCGCTCGCTGGCGTTCGCGCGGCCGATCGCACGGTTGCTCAGACTCCTGCCAAGATCCTGGAGGCCCTGGCCTCGCACTGGGGCCCTGTCTTTACGGCGAAAACCATGCGACTTTGAGGCGGGTGAAAACTTCCTGGACGCGTTCCCCACCCGGCTCGATTGCTCCGGGCTGCCCCCCCCGTCTTTTAATCAATTCTCGTCGTTCATTAAGAAGCTCCAACATTGTGCCCCAGGCCCTGACAGGCCTCCGTGCGCTGCGTGGCAGCACGCGCCAGGAGGCATCGACATCTTGTGGGAGTGCATGCAGTGGCTGTTCTCTGGCCGCGTTCTTTTCCCTGATTATAACCAGGTGCTGGGAGTCTTTATATCCAAAGGAGAGGAGGAGGAGGATTCGGCCCTTGGGGTGGTCAGGCACTCGTCCGACGCGCGCCCGCTCGGCTTGAAAAACTGTGATAATAAGATCATCACTGCCATGGCGATTCGACCCCTTACCCAGGCCCTCCCCTTCGGATTGGCTGAGCCCCAGCGGGGCTTTGTTCCCGCCCGTAACTTTGGAAATAACATCGTGCAGCTCGATGCCGTCGCCCGACGGGCGAGCATGGGGCCTGGCGTTGAGCGCCGCTGTCCTGCTCTTGTGAGCTACGATTTCGGCCAGGCGTTCCCCTCGATGTCGCAGAAGTGGATGATCCAAGTTTTGAAACGCACCCATGTCCCCCCCCCTCTGGCCCTCGTTATGTTGCTTTACGTTCGTGTTGCTTGTGTTGGGTGTGTTGGGGGCGACTTTGCCGTGCTTTACTACATCGCCAGCGGGATCATCCAAGGCTGCCCTGCGAGCGGCACTTTGTATGCTATAGCTGCAGACCCTTTTCTGGTCAAGTTTCAGGTTACTATCGACCGCCCACTTAGAGGCGTTGTTCGAACTTGCGCTGATGATATCGGTCTCGTCATTTTCAGGATCGCCGACCTCTGGTTCGTCTGGGTGATTTTTGAGGACGCCGAGAAAATCGCCCACCTTCGGTTGAATCACAAAAAGTGCAAGCTCGTGTTGCTGCTCGGCAAGTTCGCGGAGGCGCTGGAAGCGCTGTACAGATCAAAGCTGCGTCGATTTGTTCCTGAGTGGCACGACTTCGAGATAACGAAGTCAGTACTGTACCTTGGGCGTTGGCTCGGCCCTGCCGTCTCGCCCGCGACGTCGTGGGACAAGCCCTTCAGCAAGTTTGTTTCCCGAGCTCGTGAGCTAGCGCGTCAAGGATCCGCCCCATCACTTACTGCGTTTTTGTATGATTCCCGAGTTGTCTCTGTTCTATCCTATGTTGCTCATTTTCAGCCTCTTCCCCCCCATCTTCAAAAACAAGAGTTCAAGCTACTCGCGAGCTTGTTTAACCTTCCGTTCTGCTGTCTTACAGAAGCGGCATGGTGTAATCTTGCACGGTGGGGAGGACCCCCCATCGAGAGCCTGAAAATGCTGAGTCATCCCCAACTCGTTCGAGCCAGCCTTTATACCCTTGATTGTTGGAGAGAGAGTTACCAGACTCTTTATGATGTTGCTGCCGATCACCACTCGATCGTGCGAGCTATCCGAGGGACCCCGTGGCCCTCCTTTTGGGAAGCCCCTGCGTATGCTGCCCACCTCCGTGAAGCTGCTGCTGGCTTTCCTCGCTCTCCCTCTATTCACGGCCCCTTCCGACAAGCCATTACCGATCTTCGTGCCCATGAAGCCTCACATCCTCATCTTTCCCGAAAAGCTCTACATCCGCAACGTTATATATCAAACCACGTCACGTTATCCCTTCTCCCTGACCAGCTTGAAGCACTCTTTCGGCGAAGATTGCGCGACTGGTTCCCTGACGAACACGACGCAATCGACACGATAGACTGGAGCCAAGTGAGAGTGCAAGCCCTTCCTCTCCCCCCTGCTTGGCGCTCGGCCCTTCTTAAAGATCTGGTGCGGCGGCTGGGTGACCCCCTCTGCGTTTCAGGAAGTCTCGCAATGTTATTTTTGGGTGCTTCAGCCCATGCAACTTCAGGCACCTCTGGAGTTGTCCTCGTTCTATCCGTCTCATCACGCGTATGTCTGCCCGTGCTCTGCCTGTCTGTCCCATCGCTCGTTTCGGTCTCCTTGCCCCTTCTCGTGAATCGCTTCTCCCCTTGATCTTTGCTTTCTATCTTCATCACGAATGCAGTAAGCACACGCGCCCGATTGCCCCCGCGAAGCTGCGATGGATCTGCAGGCGTGTCAAAGCGCAGGTAGCGGGGCCTACCTCGCGCGGCGGCTGAGGGAGCTGTACCAGGACTCTTGGGCTACGCCCGAGGAGGAGGAGGAGGAGGGGAATACAGAAGACGAGGAGCAGGATGAGGAGGAGGAAAACCAGGGGGAGGAGGAGGAGGAGGATGAGAAGGCGGATGAGGAGGACCGATGTACATCCAAGCGTCATCAACGATGTGATAACCAACCTTCCTTCCAAGCTCCCCCCCCGTACGCCCCCGCCAGGTTTCATTTCCACTGGGGAATGTCCGTGGCGAGACAGCCGTTGGAAGACCCTGAAGCGTGGCGAGACATCATTCTCGGGAGTCAAACGCAACGAATCAGCTTGACTGTTGCGGCGAGACGATCCTGAATCGTGCCAGAAACCATTCCTGACCGCGAATCAACGTAATTGTTGCGCCTTGACAGTTTGAATCGCTCCCAAACGCCGTTTTGGTACGTCCACCATGGGATTCCGTGAGGCTTCTATTTTTTTCCAAAACGAATGGGCGCGGCGTTAAGGCGAGAGCCGCATTTCGAGAGTGAACCGCCCTCAGTCCATGAGGCTGTTGCATTTTTTACGACGGGTGTGCGCGGCGCTAACGCGAGACCCACATCTTGGGAACGGCCCGCCCTCGATCCGTGAAGCTCTTGCAATTTATTACGACGAAAGTGCGCGGCGTGCGACAGGTATGATCTATCTACCAGGTAAAGGAATGGAGCGAGGAGGGAGGAAGAGGGAGGCGGATGTGGATGATGATGATGATGATGCTGATGATGATGAGTAGGATGATGATGATGAGGAAGAGGAGGAGGAGGAGGATACTGATGAAGAACGGAAGGAGCATGATGATCAAGAGGCCGATGATGATGACGATGGTGATGGTTCTGATGATGATGCTGCGGCTGATGACGATGCTGCTGCTGATGCTGATGATGATGATTATGATGCTGATGATGATGATGCGGATTATGATGATGACGATGATGGTGGTGGTGGTGATGGTGCTGATGATGATGATGATGATGCTGATGCTGCTGATGCTGATGATGCTGATGATGCTGATGTTGATGCTGATGCTGATGCTGATGATGATGATGCTGATGATGCTGATGATGGTGGTGGTGGTGATGGTGATGATGGTGGGGATGATGATGATGGTGGTGTTTGTGGTGGTGATGAGGTGGTGATGATGAGGATGCTGATCGTTATGGTGAGGATGATTAGGATGATGCTTGTGATGATGATGATGATGATGCTGGTGATGGTGATTGCTGATGCATATGATGCTGATGCTGATGCTGCTGATGCTGATGGTGCTGAATATGATGTTGCTGCTGATGATGCTTATGATGATGATGCTGATGCTTATGAAGCTGCTGATGATGATGATTATGATGCTGCTGATGATGATGATGATGGTGGTGGTGGTGATGATGATGGTGGTGGTGGTGATGACGAGATGATGATGGTGATGAGGATGATGAGGATGATGATGATGCCGATGATGCTGCTGATGATGATGGTGATGATGATGATGGTGATGAGAGGATGATGATGATACTGATGCTGATGTTGATGAATATGATGATGATGAAGAGGATGATGATGATGCTGATGCTGATAATGATGATGCTGCTGATGATGTTGCTGATGATGATGATGCTAATGATGACGATGATGCTGCTGCTGCCGATGATGATCATGATGATGCTGATGCTGATGCTGATGATGATGATGATGATGATGATGATGATGATGATGATGATGATGATGATGATGATGAGGAGGAAGAATATGATGATGATGAGGAGGAGGGGGAGAAGAAGGAGCGATGAGGGAGGAGGAGGGAAGCGGAGAAGGAGGAGGAGGGAAGAGGTGGGAGGAGGAGGTCCCTCGGAGCCACCTCCTCGTCCTCCTCGCCTTCCCTGTCGTGGCCGCCGCCGTCGTCGTCGTTGTCGTTACCAGGCGGCGGCAAGGGTGGCGCCGGCCGTGGCCAACAGGGCGGCCCAGCAGGCGACCCGCCCCCGCTCCACGCCCGCTCCGCCCCGCCGGCCCACGGCGGGGTCCGCTGCTGACTGGCTCGTCGTCCGAGAGGGCGTCGACTACACGTAAGAGTGACCCTTAGCTAGAGTGACTTGGTGCGGGCCGATTGACAGAAGCTGGAACATATATACATTACCACTGGCGGCCCGTGTTTCAATCCCTTGACTTTTGGAGGGTCGGGGACGACGTCGGGGTCGTGCAGTGTACATATTTTTTCCCCCCGTTCTCCTTGGGAAACAGCGAAACATGTATACCCACCGAGGCCCCCCAAAAAGCCGCGCACCAATGGTCACTCTTACCAGGGGTCACTCTTGCGTGTAGCCGACGGGTGGGGCGAGTGAGCAGCCCAGGGGATCACGTCGGGGCGTGACATGTGGATGCGGGGTGGGAGATCAGTGTCGTGTCGACGGGGCGAGGGGAGACAGGCTCATGGGCAACGGACCCCAGTCGCCTGCGGGTCGCCGATGGGGGCCCGACGGCCCGCCCCGCCCAGGATCGTCCGGGGGGGGGGGGGCAGGGCGTGGAGGCGGAAAGGGGATAGGCAGGGCGAGGCGGAGGACGAGCAGGCTGGCCGTCTGCCGCCGCCCCGCGCTCCTCCTCCGCCCCCCCCCCCCCCCGCTCCGCCCCCGACGCGCGCTCCGCCGCCGGACGCACGCTCCGAGACGGTGCCGGCGGCGGGCCTTCTCCGAACGCCACGGAGGCCTCCGGCCTTCTGGGGAGCTCTCTGGGAGGGCGTCTGGGAATTCCCGCCGCCTGCTGAGAGGATCTGCCCCGCGTCCGGTGGAAGGAAGCAATCAGAGGGCACTCCCACGCTCCCCCAAGCTCAAAGTTGGCAAGCGTGGGGAAGACTGCGGTCGAAGTGCAGCTCATTGGACCCGCCGCCAACACTAATCATTGGGGGGCTTTGTCAGGTGAGTGCGGCGTGAGTGTTCGCTATTTCTTCCGAGGCCTGTTTCACTCCCCCGGTCGGCGCGCCGCCGAGGACTGCTCCCGCATCGTCGTCGCCATCTTGGCGGTTCTGGGGCGTTCCTGGTGGGCCCATGGGCTTCCACGCTCCCCTCCTCGACAGAGATACGTCGAGGAGGAGGAGGAGGAGGAGGAGGAGGAGGAGGAGGAGGAGGAGGAGTAGGAGGAGGAGGAGGAGGTCGAGGAGGAGGAGGAGGAGGAGGAGGAGGAGGAGGGAGGAGGAGGAGGAGGAGGAGGGAGAGGTCGAGGAGGAGGAGGAGGTCGAGGAGGAGGAGGTCGAGGAGGGAGGAGAGGAGGAGGAGGAGGAGGAGGAGGAGGAGGAGGAGGAGGAGGAGGAGGTGAGAGCGGGCAGGCCTTCTCAGGAGGCGGCGGGGTTGCGGGTAGACGCCCTCTGGCCTTCCGAGAGCCCTCTGTGGCTCCGGGCAGATGGATGGAGGCCTTCTGAGCCTTCCGAGAAGGCCCGCCGCTTCCGCCTTCCCCTTGGGCGTGCCGCCGATATGAGTTAAGTCGGGCGTGTCCCCCTACAGGGGGATTTTCGACGAAGAATAAAAGATACCCCGAAAATGCCCAAAGAGGTCAACAAATACTTTAAAAATAGTTCCCAGACTATTTTTGGAGTATTTTTTTTTTTTGCTGTTTTTTATTTTTCGTCGAAAATGCCCCTGTAGGGGGACAGGCCCGACTTAAGACTGAAGGTCGTTGGCACGACGGATTCCCACATGCAGTGTTCCAGGGCCCACGCCGATCCGATCGATCCGATTCGACACCGATTCCCGCCAGTCCGATCCGACTTGCTCCCGGTACTGCGACGATCCAGTGCGGTCCGGTGCTCGCACTGCGCTGCTGTGCATCCTGGCGCGGCCGATCCCGTTCGATTACGGCTCCGTGCCGATGCAGCCCGATCCGGCACACGTTTTTGCGTCGGCGGCTGGGCAGAGGGTGACTGCTCCGGCGGAATGGCAACAGGGGACATGCTGTATGGAAATTAAGGCCGCAATGCACGGAGGAGGAGGAGCCCTGGCGCGACGAGGAGAGGAAGCCGGGTCACTCAGAGCTGCCGACTGCGGCGGGGGGAGCGCCGAGGTGCGAGACCAGCGCCGGCATTGAGCGGCAGTGCCCGATCTGGCACACATTCTGATTCGATCCGATTTCCCGATTCGCGCGGCGGCGCGGCGCAGGTCAAGTCGGGGGGCATCCCGCGCACACAGTGTTCCCTCTTCCTCGGCCACGCGCAGAGGGGGGCAGGGGGGCGGGGGAAGGCTTCTTAGAATAGGGGAACAAAATGTGACATAAACATAAAAACTCGGAGGTCCGCGCGGATTTCCAGGGGCGGCGCCAGAGGCGCCGCTCGGGAGCCCCAGCGCCGATCCGAGAAATCCGCGCGGACCTCCGAGTTTTTATGTTTATGTCACTTGTTGTTCCCCTACAGAAGGAGGCTGCCTCTCAGAAGGCGCGGGCCTCGTCTGTAGACGCAGGGCCAGCGCCTCCCAAGAGGCAGCCTCCTCCCGAGAAGCCTTCCCCCCTCCCCCTGCCGCTTCGTGCCCTGGTGCGCGCCGCCAACCTCCTCTCCCCTCCTCCCCGCCCGCGGCGATGCAACACCGCCCAGTCCAGACGCGGCGGGGCGCGCGGAGGCGAGCCGTGCGGCTGGTGCGCCTCCGCGCGGTGAGGAGAGGGCGCCCTCTCGGAAGGCTTTTCCCGGAGGCTTCCAGAGGAGGCTCCTGGAGAGGCCTCCATAGGCTTTCGGAGGCCCTCTGGAGCCGTCCAAGCCACAGGCTGTCCGGCCCACCACGTGCACCTTTCTGATACTCGCGTCCATGGACTACATGTTCTGAGCGTGGTCTCTTTCTGCTCCGCGCCCCCCCCCGCCTCCCACCGTGTCTGCTTAGTGCCACAATTCGCTTCGGATGCGCCCCTCCGTCGCCCGAGCGCTGCTTGAGTCAAGCGGCCGCGGACCCAAACGTCCAGCCCACCGCAGCTTTGCCAGACGCACTTGCGCTCTGCGAGGAGTGGCAACTTGAGTGCCATCGCGGATGGCGAAGGTTCTCGGGCTGCACAGGAGCTGAAGAACAGTCGCGCAAGTATTCGCCCGCAAGTTTTCGGGTCCGCCGCGCTTCATTGTACCCCAGCCACTGATCAATTCGATTGCCGTTAGACTGCCAGGACCGCGATGGGAGACCAGGCCGCGCGGCATTACATGGGAGGAGCCGCACGGGGGCTAAGATCATTCGGGTTGGGTTATCCTCGCACAGTAATTTTGTCTGCCTCGCATGTGTGCGCGCCCTTACGTGAGACATAGCAGTCAAGCCAGGCTTTTCCCCTCACTCAGACCAGCTGGTATTTACACGCTTTCGCTTGCAAGGCGGCCGCTGCATTTCCCAGTAATTCGACTCCTTTCAGGATGGTGCCCTCCCATCTCTGGCCTCTCATGCGCGCAAGGTGTTTTTGTTTCTCTTTGGTGCCAACGTCTGCCAAGACCGTGCCATCTCGCAGCGTAGCCCGCTCCGTCATCTGTTCAGCCAGGCTTGCTTTTCGCTCCTTCGTTTGCAGGTGGGCAATACGTACCTCCATAGTTCGTTCCTACAGGTTGCCAGGATCACGCCGGGAGGCCCCGCAGCGAATTATATGTCAGGAGGAATTTGCATGACGCAAATTTCTCTCACGATGTTGCCCTCCTGTCCTTTGCCTATCAAGCTTGCGAGGTAAGTCGAGTTTTATCTTAGGTGCGCAGGCCCACCATGGCTTGCGCCTCGCTGCGCATTGTGATCCAACTTATCCCTCTTCCCTTCATGACAGGTCAGTTTTTCCAATCCACCACCCAAAAGATTACTAGCTGCTCGTGTATCAATGGCCCGGGGGAATGGAACGAAAGTGCACTCGGCCGTGACAGTTGATACCCCCGTCCGCAAACAAAAACGGCAACTGGGCTTCTTTTCCTCTATTTCTCCTTATCCCTTCCTCTTTCTCTTTCTCCTCGTCCGGTACCGCGACCTGGGTCGGTCCCCGGGGTACCTAGGTTCACGAGGTCAACGCCCTCATCCCCGCGCTGGACTTTTTATTGTATTTCCCCTCTAGGAGCAGCCTGAGGCACGAGGTCTGAGCTTGATCAACGGGGGCGGCCTCTAATCTTTCGTGCGTGAAACTGGGCAACGTGACCAGGGAAGTGGGGGCAAACTGGCGGTGAAGGAGAATATCTCCCTCCAAGGCGCCTTGCGCCGCTCTTCCGCCCGCTTGGCGGCGGCCGCGCCATCACCGTATCAGCGGCGGGCTTCCTCCCCGTCGGCGGCCACGCGCGTGAACTGGGTGGGAGTGAAGGGATGCGGAGGGAGAGAAACGACACTAGCTGGGTCCACGAGGTGATACACCTCCACTTCATCAGGAGGAGGGACGATGGAGGTGGAGGGAACAGGGAGAACAGAGAGGGAGAAGGGAGGATGGAGGGGGAGGTGGAGGGGGGGGAGGAGTGGGAGGGGGAGGGGGAGGGGCGGTGAAGGAGGCAGAGGAGGCGGAGGAGGCGGAGGAGGCGGAGGAGGAGGAGGCGGAGGAGGCGGAGGAGGAGGAGGAGGAGGAGGAGGAGGAGGAGGAGGAGGAGGAGGAGGAGGAGGAGGAGGAACAGGGGGAGGAGGAGGAGAGGAGGGCGAGGAGGAGGAGGGGGAGAGGGGAGGAGGAGGAGGAGGAGGAGGAGGAGGAGGAGGAGGAGGAGGAGGAGGAGGAGGAGGAGGAGGAGGAGGAGGAGGAGGAGGAGGAGGAGGAGGAGGAGGAGGAGGAGGTTGGAGGGAATGCGGGAGAGAGGGAGGGAGGCGGAAGAAGAGGAGGAGGAGGCGGCGGAGGCGGAGGCGGAGGCGGAGGCGGTGGCGGAGGCGGAGGCGGAGGAGGAGGCGGAGGAGGAGGAGGCGGAGGAGGAATTGGAGGAGGAGAAGGAGAAGGAGGAGGAGGAGGAGGAGGAGGCGGAGGAGGAGGAGGAGAAGGAAGAAGTGGAAACGGAGGAGGAGAAGGAGGGAGGATGCGGAGAAGGAGGATGAAGAGGAGGAGTGACTGAGGGACTGATTACGCCAGGTCGGGTGACCTGCTCGTCACTACGGCGGCAGCGCCGCGGGAGAGGAGCCTTCCTCCTGCCCGCAGCCGAGATGCGAAAGGCACCAACCAAAACCGCAGCCCCAGAGGGCCGCGTACGGCTCCAAAGGGCCCCAAAACCAGGAGGACCAGAATGGCCAGGGAATCCGCCCCAAGGGACCGAGACCCCGCGGACAGGAAGACGACTCCCCCCCACAGCGCCCACCTCCTCAGGCCTCTGCCTGCTTCTCCTCCAGGTGCGGCTTCTCTGTCCTGACCTGCTGCTCAAGCCAAAGCTTGAAGTCACTGAGCTTCGCCTGGCCTGAGGAGCTGCAAGGTGACCTTGGCTTCGAAGGCGCTGGAGATGGGGCTCTCCTCGAAGTCGGTGGACCTCGACGCCACGCCGATCGCCAGCTTCGACTCGTTGAGGCCCTGCACCGTCTCCTTGCCGCTGCCGTCAGCGTGCACTTCGTCTTTTTCTTCACCTTCAGCCGTCGCCCCCGTCCCCGAGTCCAGGGCAGTGACCCTCTCGAACATCTCCTGGCCGACCACCTCCGAGTCCCTGCACATGACTGCGATGTCCTCCTTGGACTCCGCATTGCAGCACCCTTCGTACTCCGCGACGACCGTCTGGCTGAGGGCCTCGAAGTGGTCACGCTCCTGCTTCAACTGCCATGCGATCTCCCTCGACTCCATGAGCTCTGAAGCCAAGTCCTGGAATGCCTGCCCGAACTCGACGTCGTCCTGGAAACTGCTCTGCACGGTCTGCGTGCTCGCTTCCAAGAAGTACTCGCCGAGGTACCAGTTTATCACCCCGTCCTTGTGGTGGCCGAAGACTCCGTCGGCGCCGCTGCCCCCAAAGCCGCTGTCGCTGAAGTGCATCTCGTGCGACGCTTGGCCTCCAGGAGCTTCCTGGCCAGGAGCCGCTTGGCCGCCACGCTCTCCAGGGGGGTGCTCTCCATGTTGTCCCTCTCCGTACCCGCTTTCCTGCGAGCCCAGCGTGTTGCCCTCTGCCAGTTGGGGCCCCACGCCTCGTCCTCGCCCTCCTGCTCGCTCTCCTGGTCGGACGCCACGCTCTTCTTGGCCAGCAGCTTTGTCTCGCACCAAGAACGGGGGTCCTTCTTGTCCAGCTGGATCCAGCCTTTCTGAAGCCATAATTGTGCCGTCCCCACACTGCTTGATAGGGCCCTCGATGGTGACCTCAGCGAACGACGCTTCCGACTCGCCAACCGCCCCGCCACCTGCTTCAGAGGGCCATAGCCAAGGTACATCTTGTCCTTGAAGCCCTGCAGCTCCCCGTACCCGAGCCCCATCGATGCCAATGGCTGCTCCCTGTGGCAGGCTGCCAGACTCCTTAGGTCCACAGCAAGCGGTCGCATCGCCGTCGCCTTGGAGACCGCCATTGATGCTGAAGTGGCCTCCGCACAGCACAACCTGCCACTCGAGGGTCTCCCCGCTGCCGAACTCGAGGTCCTTGAGGAAACGCCCCACGATGTGCCCGGCACCTGCCAGTCCAGCGAGTCCTTCGCTGACGAACAGCTGCATCGGTCTCACGCTCGCATGGCTCGCCGCGGCAATACCGCTTCGAATCGCGCCGCGGCCCCCCCGCGCGCCCCGCGCGGGGCCGAAACGGCTTGAGCCAAAATGGCCACGGAGGAGGAGGAGGAGGAGGAGGAGGAGGAGGGAGGAGGAGGAGGAGGGAGGAGGAGGAGGAGGATGATGAGGAGGATGAGGAGGAGGAGGAGGAGGAGGAGGAGGAGGACGAGAGGACGAGGAGGGGGCCGGCCGACCAAGTGGGACCCGCTCGCCTCCCTGGCGGCGCGAGGCCAGAAGGGTGGCGCCCCGGCGCCCGCGAAGGCAGCCCCAGCCAAGCCGCAGGTGTCGGCAGAGGCGGCCCCTGCACCTCGCGAGGGAACCGATCGAGGTTCGAGGATCGAGGATCGAAGATCGAGGTTTCAGGATCGAGGTTTTCGTGCCGAGGTTCCTGCGTCTTCGTGGGCCCTCGGCGGCTCTCCAGCCTCTGGGCGCCTCGCCGAGGATCGTCCCATGCGGCCGTCGGAGACCCGAGTGAGGATCCGACGGTCAGAGGCGACGAGGACTGCCAACGTCCTCTGAGCCTCGGTCGGTTCGGCTGCGCCGCAGTTGGTCGCGTTTGGTTGGTCCCTTTCGGTCGGTGGTCCTGTCGTCGCTGCGTCTCCGCGCTCATCGAGGCCGCCTGCGGCCTGTCGGCTTCGGCCAGTTTCGGTTTGGCTGTCGGCTCGGCCGGTCTTCGGTCGTCCTACCGCCGTGGACGGCCACGCTGAGTTAGGGGAGCTGGCGAGAGCAGTGAGGAAGGGATCTTCTCCCCAGGGTCAAAGGTTCAGGGTTGGGGATGAGGATCGAGGATCGAGGATGGGTGTCTCTTATATTGTTGAATCTCCTGGGGTGCCCTCGTTGCTACGGGCGGAGGATCGAGGATGAGGAAGAGGATCGAGGAGGAATGTTTTGGGATATTTTCATGGTCATTTTTGAGCCTCTTGGGGTGCCCTCGTTGCCACGGGTGGACCGCGTTGACAGTCTTGCTAGAACGCACCCCGAAAACGGGTCCATGAGCCCAAGGTTGCCCCCGAACCCAAGCCTATTGGTGAGGTCGAGGGCGATGAGGATCATGCTGCTGCTGATGGTGGTGCTGGTGAGGGTAAAGATGAGGTTGACGATGTGGTGCTGATGATGTGATGGTGGTGGCGATAAATATGACGATGACACTGACGATGACGATGACGATGATGACTGGGTCTGCCAGCCCGACAGGGTCTGCCGGCCCGATCTGCCCGTCTGGTTCTACCACGTGTTTTCTGCTCCTCGCCCCCTCCTCATTTCTCTCGATCTCCATGCTTCTGCCTCCCCCTTCCACCCGTCCTCTCATCCACTTGTTGAAGGGGCTGCGCTAAATGCGCGTGGCAGGTAAAGAAATTTCCCCAAGAGGGTACGATCGAAGACGAAGAGGGCGGGTAAAGAGGGTTTGGGATATACGTGTTGAATGGCACGAGCGTATAGGACCGAACAGTCTTTAAAAGATTGTTGTTGAAATCTCATGCTCGAAGAACATTTTATTGTTGATCCCCCCACCGGTGCTCACGGTCTTTTTTCAATTGAAGTGCCCCCCTCAGGGAAGGTCTTCCTGCTCAAACTGTGCCCCTTAGCCCGCCTTCTACAACAACAACAACCGCTACCGCATGATATTCCTCACAATCGATACTTAGATGCAATTTATTCAGACGCCGCGCCCTCGTCAGTTAGTCATCACGGTCTCGCTTTGGCTTTTCTCGCGATTTATTTTGGAATCGTGCTATCGCTTGAGACTTCCTCGCGATTCATGCAGGACTCGTGCTTTAGCAACCTGGGCGCTCGACGTGGCCGCTTCGGCCCGCCTTCCCGACCCGCCCGCTAGGGTCTGCCCGCCCGATCTGTCCGTCTGGTTCTGCCACTTGCTTTCGGCTCCTAGCCCCACTCCTGCTAATTTCTCTCGTGCTTCATCCGTCTCCCTCCCCCTTCCATCCGTCCTTTCTTCCCCTGTTTTTAGGGGCTGCGCTAAATTCATGTGGCAGGTAAGGAAGGTAATTATACCCCCAAGGGGATATGATCGAAGACGAAGAGGGCGGGTAACGAGGGTTTGGGATCTACGTGTTGAATGGCACGCGAGAAGATAGGTGCGAACAGTCTTAATATGATTGGTGTTGGTTGTGATGATGATGAGCCTAATGATGATGACGATGAACATTAATACGACTAGGACTGTGATGGTGATTCTGATGGTGTTGGCGCTGCTGCTGCTGCTGATGATGATGATGATGATGATGATGATGTTGATGAGTATGATGAACATTATGATGATGGTGATGAGGATGATTCTGACGAAACTGATCATGAACATGATGATGACGATGATGATGTTGATGATGATGATGCTGTTGATGATGCTGATGCTGATGATGATGAGGCTATGACGAGGGTGGTTCGGATGATGATGATGATACTGATAATAATAATGGTGGTGATGAGGAGGATGGCCGACGAGACGGCGGCGGCGGATGGTTGAGACAGAGGATTTGGAAGGCGGGCGAGGAGGGACAACAGTCGCGTACTAGGCAGGAGGATGAGGGATCCGGGAGGAAGGATGATGAGCGTTGATGATGGCGGTGACGATTGACGCTGGCAGGGGTGGTGATGGTGCCGGTGACAGAGGGACCGATGTGAACGGTGAGGTTGAGTAGCATAATGAGTAGGAGCGGGACGATGAGGCAATTTTGGCCATAACGAAAAGGCGGATTGTGATGGGCTCGAAGAGCGCAACGGATAGTATTTACAAAGTATCCAGCTGCTGGCGGCAAGTCCCACCACCGTGCCAGTCCAGTCTTCTTGGTAGCAGCTGCTTGCGCGAGGGGGACGGGAGGCCCTAACGTGTGACACCTCGAGCGGCGATCGATGCACTCAATGCGGCGACGATTGGATAACCCCATTTTACCTAACAGCGAAGACTGATAGGTTTCTAGTGGTCTCAAAAGAGCTCACAGATCACTCCACAGGGGGGTCCGGGCAGGTGTTGGGGAGTTGCCGGGCGGCAGGGTGCCGGGCTCGTTTTTCACCAACAGTCACACACTTCGTGCTCTTCGACTTCCCAGAACTCCATTCCCAGGCCACATTCTGAATACCCGGATGCAACAGTCACACACTTCGTGCTCTTCGAGATCCCAGAACGCCATTCCCGGGCCACATTTAGAATAACCAGATGCAACAGTCACACACTTCGTGCTCTTCGACATCCCAGAACGCCATTCCCGGGCCACATTCTGGAGGACCGGATGCAACAGTCACACACTTCGTGCTCTTCGAGTTCTCAGAACTCCATTCCCGGGCCACATTTTGGATGCCCGGAGCCAACTGTAGGCCACTTCGTGCTCTTCGAGTTCCCAGAACTCCATTCCCGGGCCACATTTTGAATGCCCGGAGCCAACTGTAGGCCACTTCGTGCTCTTCGAGTTCCCAGAACTCCATTCCCGGGCCACATTTTGAATGCCCGGAGCCAACTGTAGGCAACTTCGTGCTCTTCGACTTCCCAGAACTCCCATTCCTGGGCCACATTTTCAGCAGGGGCAAGAGCACGACGAGGAGGAGGACGAGCAAGACCAGGAGGACGAGGACGAGCAGGAGCAGGACGAGGAGCAGGAGGAGCAGGAGAAGAAGGACGAGCAGGAGGAGGAGGAGGACGAGCAGGAGGAGGAGGACGACCAGGAGGAGGAGGACGACCAGGAAGAGGAGGAGGAGGAGGAGGAGGAGGGGGAGGGTACCAGGAGGAGGAGGAGGAGGAGGAGGAGGAGGAGGAGGAGGAGGAGGAGAGAGGAGGAGGAGGAGGAGGAGAGGACGAGGACGAGGAGGAGGAGGAGGAGGGGGGGGGAGAGTACCAGGAGGAGGAGAACGAGGACCACCAGGAGGAGGAGGAGGAGGAGGAGGAGGAGGAGGAGGAGGAGACACCAGGAGGAGGAGGACGAGCAAGACGAGGAGGACGAGAACGAGGACGACCAGGAAGAGGAGGAGGAGGAGGAGGAGGAGGGGGAGGACTACCAGGAGGAGGAGGAGGAGGAGGAGGAGGAGGAGGAGAGGAGGAGGAGGACGAGGAGGAGGAGGAGGAGGAGGACGAGGAGGAGGAGGGGGGGGGAGAGCACCAGGAGGAGGAGAACGAGGACCACCAGGAGGAGGAGGAGGAGGAGGAGGAGGAGGAGGAGGAGGAGGAGCACCAGGAGGAGGAGGACGAGCAAGACGAGGAGGACGAGAACGAGGACGAGCAGGAGGAAGAGGAGGAGGAGGAGGAGGAGGAGCAGGAGAAAGAGGGAGGAGGAGGAGGAGGAGGCAGGCTGAGGCTGAGGCTGTGACTGCGACTGCCGTTGCCGCTGCGACTGTCATCGCGAATGCGACTACGACTGCGAGAACAGCAGAATTCGACAACTGGATTTTCATCTGAATCTTAAGGGGAATGCTTTCAGATATGCTTCTACACATCGCTGTTAGGTTGCTTTGCCGGGATAATTATTGGAACACCTAAGGGGACTCAATGATGTTTGCCTCTTGGGGGCCTCTTTGGGCCTCTTAGGGCTCTCTTTGGGCATCCTGGGGGCGTCTTGGGACGGAAGCCGCAAATTGTCGTGTTCCCCGTCTTGGGCCCTTCTTGGGGCTATCTTGGGGTCCACCTGGGTAGTCTTGGGCACCTCTTGGGCCGTCTTGGCACCCTCTTGGGCTGTCTTGGGCCCCTCTTTTAGGCCTCTTCGGCCGTCTTGGGGCGGTTTTGGGGGCCTTTGGGGCCGTCTTGGGACGTCGAAAGCTAGATAAGGCGAGAGCCCCAAACACATTGAACAACCAAAGGGACATCAGATTTGTGCCCCTTGACCTCTTGGGAATGCTCTCGGGGCTCTCTTTGGACGTCTCGAAGACCTCTCGGGCCGTCTCGAGGCCATCTAGTGCCGTCTTGAAGTCAAAGTGGGCCGTCTTGAAGCCCTATTGGGCCGTCTTGGAAGCATCTTGGCCTTGGGAGCGCGACTCTGTTACGTTTTGCGAAGGATTCTGGCCTCGGGGGCGGGCGCGGAGTAGCAGTTTGTAACGCAGGAAGGGGGGTGGGGCGAGTCGCGCAGGCCCAGCGCTGTTGTTTTTTTTGGGGGGGGGCGGGACGTCCCTGGAAGAATGCAGAAACCCTACCAGGCAGCACTTGGCATTCCAGCACGCCCCAGCGTGCCAGGGGGGCACGGTGGGCTCGAAGCACGAAACAGATCTTTCGAACGTGCTTGCATGGTCTGGCTTCGAGGCCGCGGGCACGCCAGCATAATGAGATCGCGCCTGTGCCTATCTGGCAGGGTGTCTGC